ATATTTAGTTTATAATCTATGACATTTATAAATGCATGAATGATATGGTGAAAAACTGACTTCGAAAAATAAATCTGTTCTTTTCTTCTTATAAAAGGCTAAATAAAACAAAAATATTGGTGGTAATTTTTGACTGTGTAACTTTACAAACGGCACCCCATAGTTTCTTTGATGCTTCTTAGCAATAAATCTTATGATTTTTAACCTGATTGGCAGCACCTGGGGGTACCAGAAGCTTAAAACAAGTGTCAACTAGGTTTGGGCAGTATTGATTATATTCATACCATGGTAAAACCTTTAGAAAATCACACGATACGGGTGGTGGGGTAGGGGTTGGGGGATCTGCGCCGTGTTGAGTAACTAATAATTAATGGACAAACGGCTGCTTGTGAGCATTTCCATGCACATGGTTTCATATTCTACGTAGAGCCAGAGGGAGGCAGAGAAAAAAAACTCAGCTGTTCTGATGTTGCTGTCACAAAAAGGCTTTGCTCCCTATTACGTTGAACAGATCAAAAATAAATCCAAGTACGTCTTTTAAAAGGTTTTAGGCTTCAAAATAATCTGACACTTACCATGGTTGCATCTGCGCTGCTGCATACTTTTAGGCCGTCTCTGTGCCGATAGTGTTTGTAGGTATTTCCTCATCTGCGTGCAGGAGCTTGCGGACCTCGTTAAAAAAAAATCATTGGAAAATTAAATTTTGAAAAGAGTCCAGCTATTTGTTTGACTTAAGAAACCCACAAATGGTCACAAAGCTGTCAGTCAGCACTACACCGGCCCACCTTTTTCAGGAGCCGGCGAGTCTGTCGCTACCTTTTTATTATTATTTTTTCACCTTGCTCAAAGGTTAACCCCGGATTTACACTACATGTGTGTCTGCTCCGCTGCGCACCGCAGCGCAGCGGAGCAGACACGCATGTAGTGTAGCTGTTCATTTGTGTCTCACTTTATACAGCCTCTGCTCCGGTCCAACAGAGAGTGTGGAGGAAGGAGATTGCGCAATAAATTCAGTGATAAGTGTGGAAGTCACAGCAAAAAATAATTAATTCTGTGAAAGACGAACTCCAAACACAGCTGAAAACATTGATATAAAGGCTTTTGATATCTATGTTGAAACTGTCTCGCTGTCATCTTTCTGAAACTTCTGATTTCAAAATAAAATCCACGTGTATCGTGTGTGTACACATATGCTACATGCTACATGTTTCCATCCATTTCCCAAACAGAACGATACATTCCGACAGCATTTGTGTAGAAATATATCCATATACTGATTAATATAGCTGGGATTTCGACATTATTCCGACAAATTATTTCGCCTAATAGAGTCTTATTTTGAAAATATGGATGTTGTGCTCATTCCTCTTCCTGTTGATCCGACGTAATCTTTAAAAATTGACTCCGGCGCAGCGGCATCCGGCAGAAATATGATCGGATCTAATTTTGCCACCGTGCGCAGCCAGTGTAAACACTCTCATTGATTATAACGGGTGCGTATTTGCTGCGGAGGTCGGTCCGGAGCGGAGCGGAGCCGGATCGCATGTAGTGTAAATTACTCTTAAGAGGCACAACTGACAAGGGTCCTCCTCTGAATAAGCTTGGGGACATTTTGGGGGCATCTTCACAACGAGCCTAGAATGTTTGTTCCAGCTTTTATAGCAGCCTTGTGGAAATGTGGCGCTTCACCTCACATGACTATTACAGTCATCATTTTTATATACTGTCACCATATTTTAATACCGCAGTATACCAAAATACTATCATACTGCCCAAGTCTAGTGTCAATAGCAACAGCAAAATTAGCTGTTTGGCAGAGAGGATTTGGCAGTTTTTTTATGTGCGCAATCCACTCTACTGCTCATCCCACAAATGCATGTTCCTTACAAATGTGGCGCCATTCAAAAGGGAAACTAACAGGCTTTCCAATGGTGTAAGACTTATTGTGAAGAAGCATTGTTACAACAACAAAAAATATATCTAACAAACACAAATTTTGTTACTTAGTTTAGTTTGTCATTTTGTTTATTTTGTGGTGAACTTTTCATGACCCGGTAACAAACACCAAGTTCAAACACACAACTCTTGAAGGATCAGGAAACCCTCTGACCCTCAGAATACAGCTCAGATTGGGATGTTTCGGCTCCCTCCATCTAAACGGGGAGTGTTGTTGCTGCTCTCTGATGTTGTCAGACTAAAATCCAGCTTCACCGGCTTCATTTGCATTTCTGAGGATCTCCATGGGTGGCTCCGCTCTGACATACATTTTTGCATCGCTAGGCGACAGATGCGTGTTGATCTGCACGGGAGAATTCAAACTGCGGGTGTTCTGTCGTTTACACCGGATTACTTCCTGAAAGCACAATAAATATATGCACAACGAAGTAGCCCCCACATCTAATTATAGACCGTGGTTCGTCAGAACTGCGCAGTTTCTCTGCCGTCCCCTCAGGYATTCCAACACCGTTGCCCCTCAGCTCCTCTGTCTCCTTTGCTGTTAGCAAACGAGCTCGGGTTTTCAGAGAGATTCAGCTCGCTTTATCTCGTCGGAGTGTTCGGGGCTCGTTAGCGTAACCCCCCAGAGAAGGTTAAGCTACAACGCGGTGTGTTTGTCCTGGGCCCGTGGGACATTTAACATTCAGACAGCACGGTGCGGATGAGCCTGCTCATCACTTTTATTATTTTTGCCAACGCGGGCTCCTTGTTAGCACTCTGCACCGCAGCGAAAGTGGTCGTGATTGACAGAACAGAAAAGTATTCCTGTCTAAAAGAGGGCTTCGTTTCCTCGTTTTTGTGTCAAAAAGACAAAATGTCAGACAGGTTCTTAGGGATTTGACACGCTGATTCATTCCAGCTTGAAATGATTCTTTTAGAAAACATGGGTTCGCCTTTTTCACCTGTTTTTGTTTGTTTTTGTTTTTTTCTTTTATTAGGGCACAAGTGATTTTTGCGTGTCGCCTGACAAGTACATCATGAGTCAGACAAAGGGGATCATCACTGCTGGTGAGCTTCGGTGTGAATAAAATGAATAATAATATAGTGAATAATGAATAATAATCAAGAATTGTCTGGTTGATAAATGAGTGTTGAACCATGCTCTTGTGTTTTCCCACAGATATTGTTCACTACTATCTTTACTGCAACCAGACTCTCTCTAATCCCTTTCAGCAGGTAGGGGATATGTTGCAGTACGAAACAAAATAAGAATCAATACTTTACTCAGCGTGTTTGTTGAACCACTAATCATTTCCACATCTTGGTTAAACCTTGTCCCACTTTGTTAACAAAAAGAAACATCACGTTGATTTCCTGGTTAGAAGTTGAATAAAGAGGTCGTAATATCAAGAGTTGCTCTGGGGATTTGCAAGTTTTTATCCAGCATGTTGAGTATTTCCAACAACTTTCGATTCAAAGACATATTTTTGTGTGTACAAGTGATCAGTGAAAAGTGGCACATCAAATCAAATTAGGAGGAAAGTCATTTTTAATCAAACTAAACTAGAGACGTTGCATTTCCTGTGAAAATGCAGTGTGAATGCTTAATGTTGAAATATTTTTACTGAATGGCTAAAAAAAAGCTGAAACTAGCCTAAAAAGTTTAGAATAAGGCAGCTGAAATGAGCACAAATAAAATGCAAAGAATGCACGTTTGCTGAATTAAGCAGTAAGGAGCTGAAATTATTACAAAAAATGAGTTTAAAAAAGCTATAAAGTTGATACAAACAGAAAACAGCTAAAATTAGCAGAAAATMGCTGAAAGAAATTCCTGAAACAGAGAATTTCAAAGAAGCATAAAAAAGTTGAGATTAGCAGAAGAGCAGAAAAMGTGAGAATGATCATATAAAAGCAGAAAAAAGTTAAAATCAGCAAATAGAATCCAAAGGAAGATGAAACTAGTGCAAAGTAGTTTAAAAAGCAGAACTAAGACAAAAGTGTAAAGATTTATGAACATTTTGAAGGGTTTTAAGGATGTTGAAGACAGCCATTCATTTTCAATGAGTAAAACATGGTCAAAAAAGGCTAAAATTTTCAAGAAGTAGACATTACAGATGTAGCAAAAGTCATAGCCGGAATGTCCTGATGGAGCTGAACGTTTTTTWTATAAATTGTTGAKATGGCACAAATATTGTGGAACAAGATAGCTGCTGAAAAACTTACGGAAGATAAAATGATTTCAATAGTAAGCAATCACACAACTAAACACATTTTCAGCTTTCTGGCTTTTTAAGCTACATTTTGATACTCAAATCATCATGATGTTCCTAATCGAGATAGGTCACAAATACAGTATCAACATCAACACTGCTAGAATAAAAGAAGAGAATTTGCAAAATCTAAATTATCTAAAAACTACGGAGCCAGCGAGGGGACATGGGGAGTTTTTTTTCTTCTTTTGCATTCCCTCGCAATAGTGTTGCGTTACCTCGCAATACTTTTGCGTTACCTCGCAATATCTTTGCGTTACCTCGCAATACTTTTGCGTTACCTCGCAATACTTTTGCGTTACCTCGCAATATCTTTGCGTTACCTCGCAATACTTTTGTGAAACTTCACAATACTTTTGCGACACCTAGCAATACTGTTGCGACACCTCGCAATGCTTTTGCGTTACCTCGCAATGCTTTCGCGTTACCTCGCAATACTTTTGCGTTACCTCGCAGTATGTTTGCGTTACCTCGCAATATGTTTGCGTTACCTCGCAATACTTTTGCGTTACCTCGCAATATGTTTGCGTTACCTCGCAATACTTTTGC